ACAGAGCCCCTCTCACTGCTCATTGCCCCAGCCCCTGCTTCCAGGAGTGAGTAATGCTGAACCACAGCTCGCTCAGGAGCTCTCCGGGGATCCTTCTGAGTAACAGGAATAGATGTGATCCGCATAATTGGCATGATGGGATTCTGCATCACGTTGCTGAACTCGGGGAAGCACATGGGGCAGTGCCACCAGCTGATGCATCGCACGGCGGCAATGGGTGCTAGAGGACCTTTAGGTGCTGCCTTCCCCTGCAGAGGGCTGGCTCACAGAGAGGAGGCTGAGGGGCAGGATCAGGTCCCACTGCCACCTCCTGCCCCTGCCACCTCTTCCTTTCAGAGCCACCGTGGTCCCCAGCCCCACACCACCCTTGGGCACGTTTGCTGGTTCCACGGCCACACCGGATGGGCCCAGCCAGGCTCCCGCTGCCACATCCAGCTCCCATCCTGCTGCAGAAACACCAGGGCTCAGGCTGAAGCACACGATGCTCAATTCCCACCGCTCCTCATCCAGTCCTGAGGCTCCCCAGCTCCCCCATGGCACCTCCAGCCTTCCCGCTCGGATGCGCTCACGCAGGGGCATTGTCTCAAAGGCAGAGGCACGGCCCTGCTCTGGTCTCCGCTCACTTCCTCCCCCGGCTCGTTAATCACGCACTGTCAGGCTCTGGCTCCTTCCAGCCTGGCATCGGCTCTCCCACGCTGCCTGCACCCGGGTGGCATCCAAGGGCCGGGGCCCACGGGTCCCAGCGCAGCCCTGCAGGGACGCCCAGCGCGTGCCCACGGCCTCAGGAGCCGCATTCCCGGGAAACCCGCAGCGGGACGGGGTGAGCCCGTGGTGACCCCCACTTCCCAGGGCTCCTTCCACCGCCCGGGAGCTGGATTCCGGCTCTCCTAGGGCAGGGCAGGCGCTGCTGAAGCGTTTCAGCCACCACCAAGCACCAAGCACCACCATCCACCGAGAGCTCCCGTCCCGCACCCAGCGCCAGCAAAGGTCACATTCCCAGGCTGAGCCGCGGCTCTCACAAACCTGCTTTGTTCCCAGCACTGCTCCAGTCAGGAAGTTTAGGGACTGCAGTGACAGGACAAGGGGTAACGGGTTCAAACTGAAACGGGGGAAGTTTAGAGTGGATAAAGAGGAAATTCTTTCCTGTGAGGGTGCTGAGGCACTGCAATGGGTTGCCCAGGGAGGTTGTGAATGCTCCATCCCTGGCAGTGCTCAAGACCAGGTTGGACGAGGCCTTGGGTGCCATGGTTTAGTGTGAGGTGTCCCTGCCCATGGCAGGGGGGTTGGAACTGGATGATCTTAATGTCCTTTCCAACCCTGACTATTCTATGGTTCTATGAAACTGCGCGGAGTTTTCTTCCCCTCTCTTCTGTTCCCCACAGTTGAGCTACCAGAACCGGGGCTCTCCTCTGCCAGGGCCTCTTCCATCGCCCCCGTGACCCAGCGCGAGCCGGGGCCACTTAAAACATGACAGTGGGGAAAAGGAAGGGGCCAGCGGCTGGTTCTGAGCGTGCAGGCGGGGCAGGGGGGATTGGCGCTGCCAAGGCTTTGAGCGCACAAGAAGTCACCATCACCAGTGTGACCCCAAGGGTGGGAGCACCACGGCCACTGGGTGCAGGGCAGGGGGTGGGCGGTGATGAAGAGGAGGAGGGAGATGGAAGAACCCCCTGCAAAGCTCTATAAAGAAGTGCCTGGCCCTGACTTGGGGTTTGGTGGGGAGGGTGGAGGACAAAGGATGCGTCCAGGGTTCCCAGCAGGGTGGAACTGAGGGTTGCTGCTGGGGGGGGACAGAGCAGGGATGCAGGGATACAGGGGCAGCTCTGCCCAGCGATGCTCCTCAGCACTGCAGACCTTGGGGGCCGTGTCGGGGGGCACAGGCAGCCCCCGGCTCCCCAGGCAGCGCCGCCATCCAGCTGTGTTGGCATAGAAACTGCCAGGGCTCTGCCACCGCCTCCCACGTTACACAACCCAATTACACAGCAGTGAAAGGGCTGCTGCCACTTAATGGCGAGGGGGGAGAGGCTCCCAGGCTGCCGGGGGGACAGGGAGGCCTTGTCCCCAAACCAGCTCCTAGACAACGGCCAGAGCAGCGCCGGGGCGGGCTGCGGGGCAAGAGAACAGAGCCCCAGCGAGGGAATGAGCCCCGACTCCGCTGCCTCCCGGACACCAGGAGTCTATTTAAAGGCAGCGGCGCTTGCATAACAGCGGCACTAATTCCCTCTCCCCCACAGCCTCATGTGTCCACCCATTGGCAGCAGGAGGGTCTGTGCAGGCAAAGCCCACCCTGCTCCGCCCCGGCACAGGGACCGTCTCTGCAGAGGAGCAGGGAACAGGGGCCCTTCCCCAGCTGCTGCCACACAAGTCATGTTAAAGGCCACGGTGGCTGGGTCCGGCTGGAAGCACCACAGAGGCTCCGGGAGCCATCACCAGCTCCTGTAAATGCTCAGGGACTGGAATCCATCATCACCTTCACCCGAGCCGTGTGTGTGAGGGGCAGGATTAACGCGGTGTCCATCCCATGGCACAAACCTCGCAGTGCCACCGGCACATCGCTGCCTCAATGACACGGGAGGACACTCCTGTTTAAGCCAACATCTGGCCAAGCACAACACAGCTGGAAGGGCTCCATGCCCAGCTCCCGCTGCGGGGGCCGGCTCCCACCCCGCTGCCCCAGCTGAATGGGTACGAGGCAGCGTTCACCATTAACACCGCTCAACACAGGCACCTGCGCTCCCCGGGCACAGGAACCCCGGCCCCGGCAGGGGCTGAGCTGCCACCAAGGGTCCGGGTGGGAGAGACCCGGAGGCCTCCCACTGCCTCCGTCAGTAGGAGATGGAAACCCAAACCAATGAGGAAGTAGCGGGGGGCAAAGCCCCAGCCAGTGGCTCAGCACCTCCTGGGCGAGGGGCCCTTGTCCTGTGCCCACAGTGGAGCAAGCACAAAGGTGGTCCTGAGCTGTGGCACCCTGCAGACCTGTGTGGGTTTTGAATGGTACCGACCCGCAGCGGGCTGGAACTGGATGAGCTTTAAGGGCCCTTCCAAGCCAGACCAGTCTGGGATTCCACGGTGTAAGAGACTCAGCCCAGCTCAGCCGTCCGTGGCACCACGGCTGGGGTTTCACGGGAGCCCTCCTGGGCAAACAGGGTGGTTTCTCTATCACTCACGGAGCCTGCGCCGAAATTTCCTGCCACATCTCCCCCAGGAGCAGGGGGTGGGAAAGGGGAGGAGGGAGGCAGCGCCTCCAGCACAGACACTGTGAAAACACGAGCCTGGAAGAGGGATCGGTGCAACCGTCAGAAACCCTTTATTGTCAGAGCACACGCAGAGGTCACCCACCCCTCCTGGCTCTTCTCTCCAGGAGACGCACGCAATGCGGTTGGTGCAGGGATCGCAGGAGGAAGCCGCTGGCAATCTGCTCCCAACTTTCCTATTAGTTCTGTGAGCGGCCTCGTGGCTGCATTAACAAATACCAGGGGCTGCATCAACCCCTTCAGCGCTAACCCCACTGCCGCTGGACCAGCCTCCTCAGGGATGCTGGCTCCTGCCCGTGCCAGGACGCTCCTGAGAAAGCAAAGTGGAGCGCACAGGCTGGGGGTGCTCCCTCCTCCTCCTCAGTGATGCGCCAGCCCTCTTTAACAGGGCTTGCACAGTGGTAGCAGCAAGAGCTGTGCTCCGGGAAAGGCCCCTTCAGGAGCTCACGGCTCAGGCCGCCATTCCCCCCTATGGGCTACAAACGGAACAGGGCACGGGCGAACGCGTCCAGACCGGGCCAGCGAGGAGCGAAGGAGCCGCGCAGGGGAAACGTTGGGACAGAGCCAGGGCGCTGCTGGGGACAAGGCTCCCTCTGGTGGGCAAAGCGCGCATTGCAGGAGCGCCGAGCAGAGCAACTGCTCTGCCGGGGGCCCAGCGCACTCAGCTCAGCCCCAAGGCCCGCTTTAAACCCATCCCAGAGGAAGGTGCTGGCTAAAGCTGTCCTGGTCGGTAAACACGGGCCGAGGCTTTGCTGTGACACGTTGAGGGCGGGGTGGGACTGAAAGCGCTGCGGCTCCCAGGTGCAAACCGCCCCGAAGCCACACGCACGGGGGAGGAGGAGGATGCCCCGGCTGGTCTTTGGAACGTAAGAGAGATGACACAGAAAGGACGAGTCAAGAACAGAGCTGCTGCTGGCCCATCACCACACAGAGAGCAGCACAGCCTCTGGGAATACTTATTATTGTCTAGCACCAGATCACATAACCCCAAAGGCAGCCACAAGAAGTCTCCCAGGACCCGCTGGTCCTTCTTCTGCTGTCACAGAAACCGGGACTAAGGGTTGTGGCGTTGAGAACATAATAAATAAAGATGCGCAGTGTCCTGAAGAGCAGCTGCAGGCCGACAAGTACAGCTTGTGTCCAAGAACAGCCACATCTGCCCACCGCCTGCCTGGCCAGGCAGCATTCCAAACCCCTCACCCGTGCCGACCCCGCGCCGCCACACCGCGGGAAGCACCGGCCCATCCACAGCATGGATGGAACTGCTCTGCCCTCTGCTCGCTGAGCACTCGTTGGAGGGTTGATCTAAGCTTCATGTCAGGTACAGAACGAGCCTCACGTTTATCCCAGCCTGACCTTTCCTGTCTCCGACCCTGCAAGGAAATATCAGACACGAGCCAGCAACTGGAAACAGAATGGATCCTGGCCCAGCGGAACGCTGCAAAGGTGAACTCTGGCACTGGTGCAGAGCCAGGCAGGGACGGCTCCTGGCTCCCAACGCAGGCACAAGACTTCTTGCTGGGATTTGAAGAGGCTCATCAGGTTCCTGTCACCCCGAGGTCTCATTCGGCACGATGAGTGCAGGCAGATGGAGCAGGAGCCCAGTGGGAATGATTACCAAGCGCCCCTGTCTCATGGCCAGCACAGGGCAGCTCATCAACTGCACCGAGATCCGGCTTTTCCTGTGTTAGCATCACTGCTGAGGCATCCTCTGACCTTTGCTCAAGTGAAAACACCTCACTCATGAGCTGGCTTTACACAGAACCGGTTCCAACCCGCAGCATGAAGTGTCACTGCCTGCGGAAGCTCAGGCTCGCTGCCTCCTTCCAGGCTGCCTGTGCCCCTCCAGAGCCTCATACACCCCAGCCAGTTGGATCTGCACGAGCACAAGGGACACCAGCAGCTGCTCCACAAACAGGATCAGAAGAAGGAAAGCGAAGGACTGAGGGCAGAGCAGACACAGCGTGGTCTGAGGGGCTCCGAGGGCAGCAGTTTGTTCTTGCCCAGCCATTTCAAACACTCCATCGCTCCAAGGGTGGCATCTCCTGGGGATTCAGTCAGAGCAAAGGCAGGTTCTTCACTGAGATCAGACCTAGAGAAAGCAGGTGGCTTCCCAAGTTGAGGAGCTGCTGTTTAACCCCGTGACGGCGCAGCTGAGTGACTTCAGGGTTTGAGTTACAAAAACAGAAAGCACTAGAAAATAATCTTGATACAAGAGCAATGATGAGCTGAGGTTCCCCTCCCCGCACAGGGAATCCTGCTCCACATCTGCCCAGCACAGCTGGGTGCTGCCGAGGCATTGCTTGTTCCCAGCACATGCTGGGATGGCAAACTGTCCCCGGGGAAAGGTATGTGGGGGAATCCCCAGCAGCAGGAGTTACGATGCTGCCACCAGCTCTGGCTTTGGCCTGTTCTTGATGGATGATGCTTCTGTGGAAGAAAAAGAACTTTGTTACAGAAACAGGGAATGCAAATGAGCTCCAGGCATCTCCTTGGGAGGAACCAGGACTTGGGAACAGGAGATGTAACAAAAAGGAACTCCTGAAGACGAATGAGCAGATGCCAAGTGAGCAGAGACCAGAGCCTTGCGTGCTCTTAATGCAAAGGGTTGGCTGGGTTTGTCAGAGCCATGTGGGGGAACAGCCCAGATGAACAGGGCTTCCAACCAGAGGGTTTGTGCTCCTTCACAGTCACTGAGACAATACTTACACTAGGAGAGGGTCTCAGAACTGAGAAGTAAGAGAAGCCAAAGCTGCAGGGCACGTAAAGCATACCTGGGATCTTCTCTGGAAGTGGCTCAGAAGGAACTTCTGGAAGCTCCATCTGTTCCTGCAAGAACATGGAAGACAACACATGACACATATCTGGTGGTGGCACTGACCCCTGGAGTGATTAGCCTGAATTATTGACACAATAACTGGGCATAAACAGGAACAACTGAGATCTCGGGGGGGATAAGATAAACTATTGAGAATGGGAAAAGATCCTTTCTCCCCTATTACAACCAGCTTCCTGAAAACGTGGGTTTACAGTGGTTACATCAGTCCTACCTGAGTAATAGCATTTAATTCTTCTAGAATGGCATCTTCATCCTCCTCTGTCAGGCTGCCAGCCAGTATCTCATCTATTTGCTGTGAAAGAGAGGATGAGAAAGGCTCCAGTAAACAACAGCGCAGCAGAAGCAGCTCTCAGGCGTGTACCATAGAACCAGGGCAACGGGGTACCCAGGAAAACTAACAGCTACATCACCTGCAGGCAACTGGGGTTTTATGCCTGATTTGAGTGCCTTCGAAATAAAGCTGGGAACACCTCGCTCCTCAGAGAAGCTCTGTATGGCAGGGAGCTGCTCACAGCTACTCACGCACACAGTACATACCCTCTGGTACTCCACAGCATCCTGGGTTTCACCTATTATTCTTTCTACTTCTTCTATTGACATAACCTGAAGAAGAGAACCAAAACCCAGACGTGAGTGAGGTCTGCAGGGTAACGGCTACAAACAGGCAGGACTCTGCCAAGTCCAAAGCCTGCTCAGCCAGCCCGGTCCCACCAACCTGGTGCATCTTGTGCAGACATTCATTGCCTATTTTCAGGCCCTCGATGACCTTCATTTCGATCTGGGTGAATTCAATATCCTGGACCTGAAACAGAAAGGAGAAGGGGAAATGTCAGGGGCTGCCATGCTCCCGTTGCTGGCCAGGTACAGACTGCAGGGAACCCAGAGGAACTGCAAGCAGAAAGCAGTCAAGAGCCCTTTCCCTGTCAGTAGTTATGAACACACACACAAAGCCTCAGCACAGGCAGCTGCAAGAGCACACCCAACACCTGTGCCTGATTTCCAGCTGACAGCCTAAGCTGAGGCCACAGCTTCCACAGCCACCCAGAGCAAACACCCCCATTTCTGCAGCCCGGGCACTGAGGGGAGTTTCTCCAGCAGCTCTCCACACCCTGAGGAAAGCTTTAGTAATCTACCAACCACACGTTTCACACATGCCCTGCCCTAGAGAGTCAAAGCACGCTCACTGCTTTAGGGAAGAGTCACTGCGCACGTATGATTCCAGGGAACTTCAGGGATATCTGCCCTGTGGACAGAGGCCCAGAGCTCCAATAGGGCTTGAGAGTCAAAATGTGATCCCATGGATGCAGAAGGAACGCCAACCCCAGCCCCGGGTCCTCACCATCCGCTCCAAGTTGCTGATTTGGTTTTCCGTTCTATCTAGAAGTTGCTCTTGGTAACGCTTCTTCTTCAGCAAGAGCATGGCTTTCCTGGGGGAAAGAGGAGGAAAAGCCCCAATGAAAGCAAAGCAGCCTACAAAAACCCCATCCAAACCGCACGTGTTAAGTGCTTTCTCCAGAAGAGCCTGAAGCCAGGCGCAAGTTAAGTGACAGCTCCAAACCGTCCTTAAGTGACAGCTCCAAACTGTCCTTAAGTGACAGCTCCAAACCGTCCTTAAGTGACAGCTCCAAACCGTCCTTAAGTGACAGCTCCAAACCGCTCCTGGAAGGAAGAGTCAGGATGAGCAAATTCACCGCCCATCCACAAAGCCGGCCACTGCAATTGCAAGCGTACGCGCGGGGGTAACGGGAATAGGCCCCTTGCACAAGGAGCTCTGGACACCCACGGCCGTGGCAGCAACGCGGCCGCTGCTGGGTTAACCCCGCTGCGGCACGGGGGCCGTCTCGCCCGGCCGAAGCCCAAAGCTTTAAACCTCCCTTCCGCAAGGAGAGCCCCGACCCGCGCCGCTGCCTCCGGCACCCGCTCCCCGCCCCGCGCTCACTCTTTCTTGCCGTCCTTCAGCAGCTGCCGGGCGAGCGCTCGCTCCCGCTCCAGGTTCGCGTTTATCCGCTTCTGGTACTGCTTCAGCTTGTCCCGCTGCTGCTTCAGTTGCTGCAGGAGACAGCCCCGGGCTGTCACAAGCCGGGCCCCCACAGCTCCCGCCCCGCTCGCACAGGCCCGGCCGCCTCCGCCGTGCCCCCGGGGCCGTCCTCAGCGCACCGCGGCCGCGCCACCCCCCCCCCCCCTTCGTCCGCGGGGACCCGCTCGGGGCCGGGACCCGCGGCGCTGCTGCCGGAGCCGGGCCCGCGCTCACCAGCACCGCCTTGTCCTGCTCCGTGACGCGGCTCCGCCGCTTCCGCCCGAAGAGGTTCCCCATGGCCGAGCCGCCGCCGCCGCCGCTCCGTGATCCGCTCCGCCCCGGCCCCGCTCCTGCCGCGCCCCGCAACGGCGGCCGCGCACGGCCCGGCCCGGCAGAACGCGAAGGCGAAAGAAAGCGCGGCGCAGGGAGGCGCAGGGGCCACTGGAGGGCGCTACGGGAACGGGCAGGAGAGCGGGGATGGGGATGCAGGGGATGGGGATGCAGGGGATGGGATGCAGGGGATGGGGATGCAGGGGACGGGGATGCAGGGGATGGGGATGCAGGGGATGGGATGCAGGGGATGGGGATGCAGGGGATGGGGATGCAGGGGATGGGATGCAGGGGATGGGGATGCAGGGGATGGGGATGCAGGGGATGGGATGCAGGGGCTGCACTGCTGCAGGAAATGTGATGGGGCAGAAGCAGCCAAACCGCTCCCAAGTCCAGAGCAATTCCACCTCTCCCTTCCCATCGTGTTCCACAGCTCAACCATGTCCCACAGCCCCTGTCCCCCCAAGTCTGCCCGGGACCTCCCCCCTACAACCAGCCCCTTGTCTGCAGGGAAACCGCCCAGAAACACAGAGCCCATCACCTAAAATCTAACTGAGGCCACATCTCCCCCCTCCTGCCCCAGGAAACGATCCTCAGACCGGGAAGTGTTTCTGCATTTATTTTTTATTAACCATTTATTTGTTGGTAATTGTTTTACTCTCACATTACAATCGTGTGGGGTTCTTTATATATTTTTTTATTATTATTTTTTTTAAATAAATAGAGATAAGTGAACTTTTTAGGTAGGATGCTCTGCGGATCCTTGGTTAAACTTCATGATTGAAACCTCTGCGGCAGCCCTGTGACAGCACAGCCCTCAACACGCACACGCTCAGATGAAAGCTCGACAGGCCCAGCCAGTTAAAAACCCTTCCTCCTGGCCTCAGCTCCTCTCGGGAGCTCCAGCTTCCACCTTCACCTGCTGGAGCGAACACTGATAGAAGTTAAAAACCTAGGGGGTTCTAAGCTGTGCATGTTAATGGGTTACGTGCAGCTCCCATGCCCCGGCTCTGCGCTCATCAGCTCCCAGCATGGGCAGGGTGGAGGAGATGCTGGGACCGAGGTCGGAGCAGCACGGGAGCGGGTTGGGAAGAGACACAGCTCTGTTAGACCGTAATTCACTTTTGGTAACTCAAGTGGACTTTTAGGTAGTTTTGCTTATGGTTAAAGCCTTTGATTCATCATCCTGTGAAGGGGCCCCCGGCCTCCCTGCTCCAGGGGGGACAATGACAGTGCTTAGGACAAGGATACAGCACCCAGCCTTCAGCATCCGCTCCTCTGCTGTGGCTCAGGGTCCCTCACCAGAGCCAGGCACGCTGTGCAGGCACCACGGCAGAGGTGAAGCCTCCACTGCACAGGGAGAGACCGTTTCTGGCAGCCTCATCGCTGGCAGAGGTTGCTGGGAGCCTGCAGATCGGCTGGAAGGAAAACTGGGAATGCCTGCACTCCGCAGGTCAACCTTTGCACCGTGCAAGTTCTCTTCTTGGCCAGCTGAATCACACCTCAGCAGCACCTGGGAGAAAAACTGTCCTTTGGCTTTGCCTCCCCCTTCCCCACACCCCTCCCCGGGCCCCCCTTGGATTTCAAGGGACAGAAACATTCATTATTAGACATGGAAGGTGTGGGAGGTGGAGCAGGCTCTCCCCTGGGGAGCTCAGACGAAGCTGTTCTGCTCAAAGCAGGATGACCTGCAGTCTTCCCCCCTTAGTGATTCTCTTGTGCTCAGACCACGTGTGGTTATGTGCTCAGTTCTGCAGGGACACAGAGGCCACAGGCACCTTCACATGGTGTGTGCAGCTGTGTACCCACAGCAGCGAGTGTCCAAATCCTCCTGAGCATCACCTTGCTGGGTATCAGCCCATCAGAATGAATGAAAGCCCTGGGGCTCCCTCACTGCTGGGCAGAGCTCCCAGGCATCAACGTGTTTGTGGAGCTCACCATGGGCAGAAGGACAGTGACCGTGGAAGCAACAGTGACCAAGATACCCCAGAGCCCCCACCACTGTGTGACCTGCTGGAGAGTGCTTAAAGAGTGACTTGCTCCACGTGTGTTGGGATGTTGGAGATGTTCAGTCTCTTTCTTCCCTCTTCGTCCTGTATGTGCAAGATTACAGCACGCTGGCATCCTGCCCTGCTCCTGTCATCTCCTCAAGCCCTTTTCTTAGATTCTCTACCTCCCCTTGCCACCAAGTCTCTTTCTGTCTTTGCTTCCACTGGAGAGGATGCTGCAGAGCGGACGAGGTCCATGCAGAGGAGACACTTTCCCACCTCCCTCGCTGATGCTCCGTTTAGGAGCGTGTGCACTGTTCTGCAGATGGACAGGTCAGGCCTCGTTGCACTGTCCAAGGAATTCCTGTTTGGCAGAGGGTAGGCAGCAGCTGGAGGGGTCCCATGGTCTGGTTGAACGCACAGAGCTGTAGGTGAGTCCTGACTCCAGTCCTCAGAGCAACCTATGCCCCAGCAAAACAAAGAAACGAAGACTAAAGCAGAAAGCCCTTTTCAAGGGTATTGCCTCATCCAAGCTCAGGAGCCGTGTTCCTAACAGAGAAGCCAACCACTGGAAACAAAAATAAAACGTTCCTTTTCTGTAGCTTTGAGGACATAGCTGGAAAACAAAAAACTGCAACAAAAAAAAAGGAGATCCTCTCTTCCCCTTGTCAAAATCATCAGTAGCTGAGTCAGGAAACGTTCAAGTTACGGGTTGCAGCAGCAGCCAACACGAAACATTCAAGTCGATAATTTCACTATGTACATGATGGTGAGACACGGCCCTGCCCGCTGGGACTCGCTCCAGCGCCGCTGCCCCCAGCGCTATCTGATCCGCTTCTCCACCGAGTACACCGAGATGTAGTAGTCATTGCTCCCGACTGCCAGGTGGGGCTGTGGAAGGAGCACACGGGGATGAGTGTCCCGGGGTTCCGCAGCACCGAGGCACATCACAGCTCACATTTCAGCACTGACGCCCAGATGCTCAAAGGCTCTGAAGAGCATCTGCGGACGCAGCGCTGACGGCATTCCTGCCAGCACCTACCTCATCCCAGCGACTTATAGCCCCATTTCAGCCAGAGGGGAAAATGATGGGACTATTACTTGCCAACTGCTAACATAATTTTTCTAAATGGCTGCAAATCTGCTTGTTAGGAGCAGGCTGAGAATTAGCATTCACTGCACTGAGAGCCCCGGCACAACCCCAGCACAGAGACCCAGGCTCGGCAGGGCTGTGTGTGCATATGTGAACAGTAAAACATCACAAATGATTACCCACGTCCTTCTCCATCCCTCACACTGTGGGACAGCAAAATCACCCCTTAGCTTCTTGCAAAGCAGCCTTTCAAAGCCAAGGAGAGGAGATTTCCTTTACCCTTACTGTCCTCAGGATGTACAACAGATCCCAGGCAGTAAAACACTGTCCCTCTCCCTGCCCAGCTAATACCAAACCATCACAGGACAGCCCAGCTCCTCCCTCCTCCCCTCCAGGCCCTTTATCTTTCTGATCTGCTGCCTTCTAAAGTAACTCTAATTAAGCAGCAACCAGATTTCCCTCTAACGAGGGCTGCAGCCACCTCAGTTGAGCCATATTCTGAATTTCGTTTTTACTCTCATTCACTCTGGACTGATCAGCTTACGCCTTTCATTTCTGCAGTTCATCTCCCTGACGTGCATTCCCCTACCTCACAGCATCAGGTCTTCCTAAAGCCTTAGGTAAGGTGGTGTCAAAGCAGCCCCAGAGACCTGCGGCTGAGCCTGTGTCTGTGAGGGAGGCAGCACGGAATAAATCAGCACATCAACTTGTGTGTGCTGGAAGTGAGAGACTGCACCTCTCCAGGCAGCTCCTGGCAAACTCCCCTTGGAGAACTCCTGTGGCAAGAGCTACGTCCTCAGGAAACCAGGCTGGGCAGCAGCTCTGTGCTGGAGGAGTCTCCTCACCCTTCCCTCTGCCAACATTTACATGAACTGAGAAATGCAAATTCCCAAATCCAAGAAGAAGGAACACAGACCCAGTGAGGATGGAAAGCCAGGCAGCTGATGGCTCCCACTCTCTGCCCCATAAAGCCATCGTAGTATTTGATGTTGTTGATCAGCTCCCCGTTTCCATTGTAGATTGCAGTGAACTGGTTCATGGAGCCACTGGAAGGGAATCAAGAGAACATGGCGTCACCCAGGACGTGGTAACGTTACCCGCATGTGACACACGAGGGGAAGACTGTGCATCGCCACTCCAAGGCACCAGCGCAGAGGTTTCACTAGGGATAAAATTCCTGAGCTGCCAACATGGGAAAGAAACTGCACTGTGTGTGGTGAGGTTAAACCAAACGACAACCCCAACCAAACCCATGTCTGGGGAGACAAACTGTCCTCCCCGGGGATGCAGGAGATGGAAGCAGAACTTACCAGGCAAAGAGGTTAGCTTGTGGGTGAATGTCAAGGGCCGTCAGCCCTTTGACGATCTGAAGGACCTTCATGGACTCTGGCATCCGGGGGTCAAAGAACCGCACATCGCCGTTCACACTACAACACAGGAGTGCCACAGCGTCAGGCTGCCCCAGCCAGCCCCCAAAGCCCAGGAGATGCCTGTCTGTGAGCCGAGCACCTCCGTCGGGAAGATCAGGAGAGAGAAGATGCAGCCTTTGCCTTCTGCATCACTACGGCTCAGTTCCCACCAATGCCACTGACATTTGGTACCATCCACAAGGCATTAAGTGCTTTGCAAGCAGCTCTGCCCTCAGGAGTGAGCTGTTATTACTTTTATCACTTACAGCTCATCGCTGAGTGCGAGTGCCTTTACTGGTATGTCATACTCAATACACCAAACTGCACGTCAGGCCCGAATTCCTTCTCCTTTTCACGGTAGGAAATTGTATTAGAGAACTCTAACCAGATGGGATCTGCCAGTTCCATCCATTACACCAAATGTCTGGTCACAGATGCACAAACCCTCATGTCCAAAGCACTCTGTGGGCCAGATGTAACAAACAGAACACTCAGGCGATGGTTCCATCCTACTAGTAACAGCACCAGGGGAAAGCAATGATAGCAGGGA